CGTTGTAGAAGAATTGGTGCTGACATGCCCATGTTAGCAGAAAGACCAGTCCTGGGATTAGGAGCAGTGTCCCAGTGACATCTTATTCTTGTCACTGGGGATCCAGTCAAAGGATTATGCAGGGTCATTCATGTAACCCTAATGCAGTTCACAAGTGACTGCAGGCATCACTGCCTGTGATGGGAACACAGATGCCTACACCATGGACTTTTAAAGTTAAATGAGATACAGGTGACTGTGGCTTCTAGCAAACCTAGGCAGAGCCAACGCAGTGATAGACATGCTGTTGATCTGATCACCATTCTCACATTGGAATTTGTTTCATGTGTGTCCAGGACATTGTAGTTGTTTAAAATGCATTTGAAATTAACCTCTTACGAATGAAGAGAGGAGGAAAGAACATACTGTGGTTCCGCTTGCACCATATCTGGAAGGCAAAGTGTAGGCAATGTGTGGTTATTGCTCTTTCAGATATGCAGTATCTAACAAATAAGAGACATGTAAAAATTTTAATGTGGCTTTTACTAAATTCCATTAGCTAATGAAAAGTACAGTGTTATAATGCATGAAGAAAGACTGATGTAAATTTGAACTAGCCCTTAATATGAACAGCATTATGTTTCAAGGTTTGAGAGATACTAAGCCACAGTGCACTATTGATTAAACACTCTATTGCAGACCAAAAGTGAACGAGTCATCAATTTATACTCTAAATGAGTTGTATAAAACAACATATCAACTTACTCTGCTGTCCTACCCTCCTCACCCCACCCCCCTCCAAAAGCAGAAATATTGCCTGATCACTCTAACTACTCATCTTCGTTACTGGTGCTGAGGAGCACTGGATATGCTGTTCCAATGTGGCGCCCATGGCGGTAGACAACCAGCTGTAGCTCATATTCCTCTATCTTCACTGTTTCACGTGTGATTCTTTCTTCGGCCAGCAGGAAAATGATGGTGTAAAGGGCAAATTCGAACTCTGGGCTGACCCCAATAAAGGTGCTTCCAATCGGCTTGACTGGGCCCTTCCAGCTGAACTGGATGCTCAAAACTTGGTCATCTTTGTCAGGCTGAAAGCATAAACAAAACAGAATAATCTCCAACACAGCTGTGACCAGATAGATATGATTTCTGACTCCAGATTTTTGAAAGCATTGAAAGATTCAGTCATCCTTGCTGCTCCAGGGTGCTATAGCTGGAGCACAGCCTTTTCCCTGGCCTCTGGAGCATACATCATCATTCATCTCAATTAAGCCGCTGCAGTGATGTGATTCTGTAAACACCAGCACTACCGTTTAAAATAGTTCTTGTGAAAAAAAAAAAAAAGTGAAGCAAGACTAACCTCATGAAGTTGAATAAGGACAAGTGTAGAGTCCAGCATCTGGAGGAGTAATACCATGCACCAGGACAGATTAGGGGTTGTCCTGCTGGGAAGCAGCCCCATGGAGAAGGACCTTGGAGTCCTAGTGGACAGAAAGTTGTCCCTGGGACAGCAATGTGCCCTTGTGGCCAAGAGAGCCAATGGGATCCTGGGGTGCATTGAGAAAAGTGTGTCCAGCAGGTCTAGGGAGGTTCTCCTCCCACTCTGCTCTGCCCTGGTGAGACCACACCTGGAATCCTGTGTCCAGTTTTGGGCTCCCCACTTCAAGAGAGACAGGGACCTACTGGAGAGAGTCCAACGGGGAGCTACGAGGATGATCAAGGGACTTGAACCTCTCTCCTGAGAACTGGGGCTGTTTAGCCTTGAAAGGAGAAGGCTGAGAGGGGGTCTTATTAATGTCTATAAATATATGAGGGGTGGGTGTCAAGAGGAAGGGGACAATCTCTTTTCAGTGGTGCCCAGTAACGGAACAAGGAATAATGGGTTTCAGTTAGAACATAGGAAGTTCCACCTCAACATGAGGAGAAACTTCTTTACTGTGAGGGTGACAGAGCCCTGGCACAGGCTGCCCAGAGAGGTTGTGGAGTCTTCTTCTCTGGAGACTTTCAAAGTGATTTCTGTGATTTTATGACTTGAGGGCATGCTAGTATTTCTTAATACACCTGGCTAAATTAGGTTGAAACCAGCTGCACCTATGATTGCATCAATGTGCCTTTTGATTCATTACCACAACTTTTATCTCTGGATCTATTTGTCTTAAGTGTAACAGCACTCTGCTTTGGTCTTACCCTGGTTTTGTTCTTCCGAGTGACGTATCCCTTGTAGTCAATGTGATTGTGCTTTTCCTGAAGGTAAAATTGCACCCAGTTGTGCAAACCTAGGATCTCTTTACCACGCCTTGTTTCTCCAACAAAAACATGTTCAAACCCACAAGAATCAGGTCTGTAATAAACCAAAGAATAATATATAACCAGTCTATGATTCTACGGTTTTATGTGTTTAAATAGTTCAAACTGGCAGAGGTAAAAGGCAAAAAGATGCAGAAGCTTGCTTAGGTTTTGCGAGCAGTTTTTAAAATTTGTCTGGATTTGCTGGGTTTTCTTTCTTAGTTTGCACAAAATTTGCAATGAAATCTAGCCAAGAAATCTGAACTTTCATTTGGTTATGAAGTAAATGCCACAGATGCATCACTGCTGCTTACCCAGACTTTATCAAGGCTGCTTACAGTGTTTCCCATAACAAACTCATAGGCAAACTGAAGAAGTATGAATGAGAAAAGGGGATGATGTGGTGGGCTGAAAAGAGGTTGAGTGTCTGTGGTTGAAGGCCTGTGATTAGGGGCACAAAGTGCAGCTGGAGGCAGTTCACCACTGGTGTACCCCAAGAGTCACTGCTGTTAGTATCTGATCAACAAGCCTTTGTGGGAACAATGGACACCTAATTTAGGCCATATTCTGAGGCTGTCGTCCAGTTTTGTGAGTAACAGATGGCACCTGGGCTTATATTTACCTAAATCAGAATAGTATAGGGATTATCTAAGGCCATATCCATCAAACATACCTGTCTCCTTCTTCCCTGGCGTAGAGCTGGAACCAGATGATGTAGAGCTGATGTTTGAAATCAGCAAGGTTTGGCTTTGCTAGTTTTTTTTTAATCAGGAATTCATGAGCTACCTGAAAGAAAACACATTTATATATTTTTTCTATTTCATATACTTTCTAATTCAGTGTTTTCAGTGGCTAAAGAAGATGTTTTACTCACTTTCATGACTTTTGTTGCTAAGATAGCATCAAGAAAACGGTTGTTTTCAGCTATTTCTTCTGGTGTCACTACTTCTGGTACACCAGTTGATGTCTCATAGTTGTCCAATAAGGAAATGAAAGCTGCAGAAAAAGAGAAACTTTCACCGTGCTCATCCTGATAAACAGGCCATATGCCTAACCATACCTGTGTTCCAGACATTAGAGAATGCTATCTTAAAAAGGTTGCTTATAATATGCCTTGACAGCCTTTAGAGAAAGCCATTCCTTTATATGTCAGATTTCATTCTCTGGTACACTGTTGGGTGTAGGTCTAGAGGTGGTTCAAGGGCTGTACTTCTTTTTAAGATAAACAGCTCTCCGCCAAACTTCCTTATGGAACCAAGTGCTGATACAATAATGGCTTTCTACCAAAACAAATCATATCTGACCACCAAAATTACAGATATAGACTTATGAACTTGAGCTATGCTGGCAGCAGGCTTTGTGGGCATTACTTCAGTAGAGGAATAATGCAGCATAAACCTGCCTGAGAAGGCTTGAGCTTGAGCATGTAGCCACTGAGCTGATGGCTTCATTTTCTGCTTTGCACACTTTTTGCCACCTGCTCCCCCCTGTCACTTCACCTACTCATGCTCTAGCATTCAATGGGGGTTCAACAGGGGCTGATTCAGCACACCAAGCTGACAGAAAAATACCTGAAGTCAAAATCCTAAGTAATTTCCTGCCAGGGTAGTCAGCTGAAGAGACTCAGTGTAGGGTTCAGAAGTACCATGGCTGCCCTTACTGGACACAGGACTGTGTGGTTCAGAGAAAAGCAAGGAGAACAGAGAGAAATGGTGCTTCCCATTATGCTGGCTGTTCAATCAGCTTTATGTAACTTTGTCTGGGGAAAAGAAAAATCAGGGAAGGAAACATACATTCATAGACATGCTAGAAGCACAGCCCCCAACAGAATGCAAGAAGTATCTGTGGATCTAGTGCATTCTGAAAGGGCTAAAAGCAGTAAGCAAAGGAGGAAAGATGACTTTGGTGTCTTTTTCAATCAAAGCAATGACGGGAGTGTTATCCATTTCACTTTGTAGCAGAAGATCCACAGAGAAATTCAGATTTTGGCTAAGGCACCTGGGGCTGAGGCTACAGGTAATCTCCATGCAAATGTTGTGGAAACTACATTCAAATGACATGCAGCATGATCCTCACCACCATCCAAACTTTATAGAATTTTATATTTTCAGCAAACACATAAAAACCAACATGAATTGTTCAAGTAATTTCCACCATTAACAAAAGAACGGGTCTCACTCGCAAAAGTTTTTATGCTCTTCAGGCGTTCTTCATTTACGTAGTGAAACAGATGTCTGGCTGCATTGTCCTTGACCGCACTGTCACCTTGCTGTGCGGCACCTGCTTTTCCCTAGGAGAAACACCAGAGTAAAGCAATAAAAGAAGATGTCCTTAGAGGAGACAGTGTCTGTCTTTATAATAATCAAAACAAAAGCCATAACGCTATCAGGATTCTTTGTTAGGAATGATCTTCCTATAAAACAAGAGAAGACATTACGGAAGGACCAGCAGCATAAAGAAGAAAAACACATAATCTCTGACACTGTAAGAGCCTGACATTTCTCTGTTGACTCATTTTCAGATTTTATTGTAATAACCCATGTGATAGCCCAGTTCTCATCAATAACCAGCTGTGCTACTATGCTATATACATCACAAATACCAGAGAAGTAATGTAGAGCAAGGCTCCCTCCCTCTGCCAAATAAAAAGGAGATCTGGGCACATTCCTTCTCTGTCCATTTGTAACCCACAGACCCACTGCATATAGTTTATGAGGCCATGCAGTGCAGCAGAGGGGTTGTTTCTCTCCCGAGTCCCCAAGCTGGCCGGTCTCACTCTCCTCACCTTCATAATAATGCTTAAGTAATCCAACTCCTGAGCAGGCTCCCTCAGGCTCAGCCTTTCACAGAATCACAGAATGTTAGGGGTTGGAAGGGACCTCTGAAGATCATCTAGTCCAACCTTCATCCCAGCATACCTAACAACTACACCATAGCCTCAAGTGCTAGATCTACTTTTTTTTTAAACACCTCCAGGGTTGGTGACTCCACCACCTCCCTGGGCAGCCTGTTCCAGTGCCTCACCACTCGTTCAGTAAAGAACTTTCCCCGAATATCCAATCTAAACTTACCCTGACGCAACTTGAGGCCATTTCCCCTTGTCCTGTCATTAGTAATTAGAGAGAAGAGACCAGCACCAGCCTCACTACAGCCTCCTTTTAGGTAGTTGTAGAGGGCAATAAGGTCTCCTCTCAGCCTCCTCTTCTCCAGACTAAACAAACCCAGCTCCCTCAGCTGCTCTTCATAGGGCATGTTTTCCAGACCTCTCACAAGCCTTGTTGCCCTTCTCTGCACCCGCTCCAGCACCTCGATGTCCTTCTTACACTGTGGTGACCAAAACTGGACACAGTACTCGAGGTGAGGTCTCACGAGTGCCGAGTACAGAGGCATGATCACCTCCCTCCTCCTGCTGGTCACACCATTTCTGATACAGGCCAGGATGCCGGCACAGCCCTAGCCATTGCCCCAGTGCCAGGAAGATGCAGAGATAGCTCTGTGCAGCTCCACCAGCTTTGGACTGCTGCACCCCAGAGCTCTGAAGTTTTCAAGGACCTCTGGTTGGCCATGTTTAAAGGTATTGCATTGGGTTTGCGTGGCCAGGTTTCAATAGCAGGAGGTGCTATGGGTGTGACTTCTGCAAGAAACTGCTAGAACCTTCCCCTAGATCCAATACAGGCAATGCCAGCTGGCTCCAAAGACGGACCCACTGCTGGCCAAAGCCAAGACTATCAACAATGGTGGTAATGCCTTTATGACAACATATTTGAGAAGTGGGGAAAAACTATGGCACTTGCAGAGAGAGAGAGGACTGAGAATATGTGAAGACACCAAGGTCAGTGAAGGAGGGGGGAGAGGATGTGCTCCAGCTATTGAAGCCGAAATTCCCCTGAGTCATGGTGAAGATCATGGTGAGGTAGGCTGTCGATGGAGGTGACAGGGGTGTAGATGCCCACCTGTAGCCTGTGAAGGATCCCGCACCAGGGCAGGTGGATGCCTGGAGGAGGATGTGACCCCATGGGAAGCCTTGCACTGGAGAAGACTCCTGGCAGGACCTGTGGACTCGTGGAGAGAAGAGCCCACACTGGAGCAGTTTTGCTGGCAGGACTTGCGACCCTGTGGGGGATTCACACTGGAGCAGTTTGTTCCTGAAGGACTGTATGCCATGGAAAGGACTCCCATTGGGGCAGTTCATGAAGAACTCCCTCTTGTGTGAAGGACCCACACTGGAGAAAGTTCATGAAGAAAGGTCTCCTATGAAAGGGACCCCATGATGGAGCAGGGGAAGAGAGAGGAATCCTCTTCCTGAGGAAGAAGGAGTGCTTGAGGAAGAAGGAGTGAATTTTCAAATTTCTGATCCAAAAAGGGCATTCTCAAAGAAAGAGAAGATGAGTAGCAATTTGCTAACATGGGCAAGGTGTAGCTATAGCCTTGTTCTGAGAAATGGAGAAACCTTATGGGAGAAGTTTTCCCCACACGCATTTTGGCCTGAGGTAGGTACCCCTCTTCCAAGTTTATCGGCAACAGAAAATGATATCTTATAATATGAAACAATACTGAAACAGTGTTTGAGCATTTGTGTGAGTACAAAACTGTGTACTGAATATTCAGTGGCGTGCTGCAATTTGTGGCCAAAACACATGGTCATGTGTGTACTATACTGAGCTGGCAAGGACTGAAATGGCTGCTCATCACATCTGACACCCACTCCTCCCTCACAGTTCCCTGGGATCATTAGCAACAGCCCCGAAAACCCTCCTCACCCACACTGCTGTGCTACTCCATACTTTCCAGGAAAGACCCAGGAATTCCTCAAATTCCTCCCTTATCCCCCCAACAATTACTTGGGATCTAGCTCCGCTTCTCCCTCACTGCAAGTCACCCAGATAGTACACACACAAAAAACAACCCAGGTAGCGAGGACCTCAGGACATCTCTAGTCCTCCTCAAAGTATGATCAGCACTGAATTCAGACCATGTTGCTCAGGGTGTCATCTTGCCGGATCTTGAAAATCTCCAGATATGGAGATTTTACAGCTTCTCTGAGCATCCTGTGCTGGTTCCGTTTGTCCTTGTTCAATTTTACAATGTTCCTTCCTTAACCTGTTCCTTCAGCCTGCCTAGGTCCCGCTGAAGAGAAGCCCTGTGCTTGAGCATACCAAGTCATCTGCAAAATTGGCAAGGTTACACTCCATCTCCTCCTCCAGGCCACTGATAAAGATTATTACAGAACCCAAGACATACAGCTGAGAGACTCCACTTGTAATCAACATCCAGGTAGTTGTGGTGATGCAATTCCCCCCTTTCCCCTTTCTTTTGAGATACTTGGTACTGCGTGTGAGTCCTTCTCTATGGTGGACAAGCCAACCTGGTAGGAACATGGATTGTGAAAGATGGGGACTCCCAGAGCATGAAGGCATCCCATTGATGTGCGTGGCTCCTGATAGCCCTACAGAATGGGAGTAGCAAGAACAATCCATCACCTCCTGGCAGCTCGAAACTTCCTGGACATTGTACCAGGGATGCACCTGTAAAGAGATATATCAGCATCTCCAAACATGGCAATAGCATGGGCCTGCACAGTTCCTGGAAAATACCAGAATATTTTGCAGCTAAAGCTGGGCTGATATGGAAAAGTAACTAAGAAAAGTCAGTTATCTCAGATTCTATAAACAATGATTTTAAGTGAGACCCTTGGAGCTCTCCTGAATCACAGCAGGCTGTGACCAACAGCTCCCCTGAGCTGGAATGCCTCTCAGGTACCAAACTCCTTGAGGCCATCTCCTGACGGAGGCCAGGGCATGTTATCCTCCCTGAGTCTCAACTATTGCCCATTGAAGAATGCCAATGATGCATTTTAAGTATTTGCTCTAAGCTTGGGAAGAGGGAAATTTTAACTATAGGCTATCTTTACATCCACTTCTCTACTTATTTATGTGTTTAGATGCATATTTACTTCCATGGGTATGGATGTGCATGGTGTGAATTTGACATATATCCTTTGACTGAAATACTTTATGGTTAATGTAAAACATGTAATCTATGAATCTGTAATTAAGTTGCTATAACCTGTTTTACTAAATCATTTGTAGAGCTCTAAATTAGTTAATGATGAAGTGCTGCTAAAATTCAACTTTTTAATATACATCATATTGTTAATAAATTTTGAATAATCACTAATCTTAACCTTTGTCAATCCATCGTGTGGTGGTAGTGTGGACCATTAATGTGTTCTCTGTACTGTTCCCTTTCCTACTGTTTCTTCCTCATTAGGAAGTTCTGTCTATGCTATTAGTGGAAACAGTGAAGCATAAGAAACTCTTTTAGCAAAAAATGTCTGCAGTTTTGCAGACATCTTTTCCTACAGTACCACACTGCCCTCAATCCTCATATGGTGTAGCAATTGGTTACCTGCAAGTCGATCATGTAGTCTTTCCCAGGCATAAAGCGGTTAACATCCACCTCCCACATCTCATTGAAAAGTTTAGAAAGTTCATGATTTAAGGCCCTCCTGTCAAGAAATCCAGAGAAACACACGTTAGAAAAGACGCATGCTGTTATTTCTGGAAGTCACTTCTAGAGTCTTCTAATGTCACTTTGTGTTCTGGTTACCAGCTGGTCATCAGGAGAGCTTTCTTGTCTCCCCACACCTTTCTGTTAGTGCTGCTCTGAAAACCATAGAGCTTATGGTTCATGTTCATATCTAGAGAATGCAGGTAACCTGTAAGGAAACTTGAGCCTTCCCTAAGGTTATTTTAGAATATATTTTTAAGATTTCTTGTTAACACGCCTTCCTGTGTTTTTCCATGCAGTGAAATAAAAATAGAGATGGTGGTGTTTTCATTCAGGAGGATTCTATGCAGAAACCAGAGGCAAGCAGGAGATTGTTATCAGTGTGCAGCAACACTACGCAAAAAAAAAGAAAAGCAAAAAATTCTCTTTATGATGCTTTTCTGGCAGCAATCTTACGCACACCTTTCCTACCTGTTTTCCTGCAAGATTCCACACTAGAGCTGCTTTCTATCACCCACACACGTGGTTATCCTAGCATAAAGTTAGCATGATGAAGAGTGACCTCTAAGACCATAAACACAGGGTCTGCATACAATAAAATTCTCTCATTCACTGACCTCTGATGCACAAGGCTGGGCTGGCCACTGACCAAATGACAGATGCTCTCTAATAACCCCTCTGCCTTCCCAAAGGGGAAGGGAAAGGAAATAAGGCAGAGAGACTTATGGATTGAAAAAGGAAAATAAAACAGCTTTAATGAAACAATAATAGTACTAATAAGGAAACAATTAAAATAATAATGTATACACAAAACTGACATTGAACTCAACTCCCCTCAAGTAGCAATCACCACTGATGCTGCTGTGCAGGCAGGCATCAGAGAAGCCCCAGGCTCAGTGTCAGAGAGGAACCAGGTACAGGAGCTGGATTCAGAAGCTCAGGATCAGGCTCAGTGGCAGTAGAATGGACAGAGTCCTCCTCCGACGCCGGCCATTGAAGAAGAGAGCTTAACCCCCACAATCCCTCAGATTTATACTGACTATGGCATATATGGAATGGAATACTTTGTTGGCCAGGTTTGGATCACCTGTCTTGTCTGTTCCTCCCCAGAGCTACAACTTTTTACTTTCTTGTGACCCTTTTGCTTCCCAGCACCCCCAATGTGGCACACAAAATTTAGCAGTGACCTTGGTTATTGTAGGAACAAGTATAAGCAAGAGCTTTTCTGTGTACCAGACACTGTCTGCAAAAACATGCAACTGACTTGAGAAAGTGCAGTCTTTTAGAAGAGACTGAGCTGAAAAGCAAAATCACTGAACAGAATTGGTTCTGGTTAGCCCAGACCAGGACACACATACAAATCTATCCATGATGGTCCTTTCCTCATTTTAATGGAATTTTGTCCTGCATAGTAGTGCATAGTTTTCAGAAGTCTATTCATCGATCTGTCACCAAGATTTAAGAAGGGCTGTTATTGTGAGGAAGTGCTCAAAGGTAGCTCCAGTTTCAAGGGCATTGACTCACAAGTTCCAGTCAAAGAGCAGAGCGGCGAAGAATGGGAAGTGCTTTAATATTTGAATGACCGACAGTTGAATTTATCTATCAGTTACAAACAAGCACATTCCTCAAAGCCCAGAGAAGAACAGCTTGATAATTTTTAATTTCTCTGCCAAAGCAGATGTTCTCAAGGAAAAAAATATAGAAGTGCGGGAATTTGTCAACAATGGGCATTTATATCAAATGGCCATTTGGGCAATTTGCCATGATTTTAACAACTGGTGCTTCCAGACTAAACCAGGGCACATTCAGGCCTAGCTCTGAATCTCCTAACTGATCATTATCTTCTTCTGTTTGGGCCAGGATGGACATACTCCCTGCATCCTCCTGCCAGTGGAAAATTCCATGCTTTCGAGCAGAAAGAGGAAACAAATACTGTGGTAAGGTCACACAGTGTCTTCTGATGTGACAGCCTTGATGTGAGGCAGCTTGAGAACCACAAACATCAGGAAGGAAGCCAGGCAGGCACCTGCCCTGGCAGGGAGTGAATAGAAGTCATAGAAGAAAAGAGGGCATTAATCAAATGGTGGGAGAATACTCTAGAAGTGGTACAGCAAGATTTTATGTACCTTCTCCTGTCGTGGACTGGACTGGCTCCAAAACTGTTGGTCTAAGGTCCATATTGAAAGAAACAGAAAGTAGCAAACTGCACCTGGAGAACTGAGCCTTTTTTTTTTTTCACCCTCATTATTGAGTACTCCTTTTTTTTTCTCCAGAATTGTCTGTGTAACTTTGGGATGGAACTCATACAGCCAAAAATTAAAATCCTGAAAAACATAAGCAATCTGTGCTTAACTCCTTGAGAGCTTGTTGCCCAAAGGAATTCATGTCCCCAAGTTAAGAGTCGAAAGAAGCCAATTTACATGACTGCAGCAGAGGATAAGCTGCAGCAGCTGAGGAGCATAAAGCACATATATGATAGGTTACACACAGCATTATTTAGAGTGGGGCAGACAACTATAATTACTTTGGCTGCCCCACCTCAGTCTGAGGGCACCTGGGAATTTGAGCCATTATGTGTGTCAGCTATACTGAAGGCACTGACAGTCCATTTTTGCTCCAGCTTTGTGATACTTTGAGCTCATTGTTGATGGGAAATCTGTAAGAGGATTTGTATTTTGAACATGGCTGGAATAGGTGTCAATTCCTAAAAGAAGAAAAATGACAAAAAATTCTATTGTATGGGAGCTACAGGGTATGTTTGTTTCTAGGGGGAAACACAAATAGGAAGGAAGATTTTTTTTCTTTTCCCTCGGAACAAGTACTTGCATAGATCTTACAGTGGAGCAGAAGAAGGCTGTCACAAATTCCAGGTTCTGCTTATATCGCAGCTATATGGCTTGTGGCATTCCATTGTCAATACACCAGCTGTACCTGCTCAACTTGATGGGGCGTTAGCCTCATAGCCTATCACAGAAGCTACCAGCAGCAGCGTTTTTTATTTATTTTCAATGGTACCTCAGCATTCTTTCCAGGGTCTGAAGAAGAGCGATTCCTTCTCAAGAGAGCTTACGAGCTAACAATAAGAAAATTGTCCACCTCACCAACACAGCTCAAGTCCCAAGAACAGGATCGGCAAGATCACAGAACAATACTGGAGATGTTTTTTAGACTTCCAAGTCTACATTCATGTTATCTCAGACTGACCTAATTTTACTGGATCATTTTTATTCTATTTTCTGGACCCTCCTGCTGTCTACGCCTGATAAGCATCAGCTTATCCCATCTGTTTGAGTTGTTAAATACAGTTTTTACTTTGGAAGTTAACTACCTGTGGCAGTTAGAAGTCAGCTGTCTGTTGAATATCCAAGGTATGTGAAATATTAGGAGGTATATCAGGTTGGGGGAGTTTATATTTTTTTGCTCCGTATATATATATTATATATATATATATGTAGTACTTTATGATCATGTATTTTATTATGTATGTGTTTTGGTAAAAGTCACCTATACAGGAAATCTGTCATCCCTTCAATACCTACTTCTTGTTCTTGGTTTGCTCTTGGTGGATTTGTCCTGTGTTTATACAGCACTGAAGGGCTTTGTTTGATCTTTCCTGTCCCAAAACTCTAAAGTCACTTCATTTCATAAAACAAAAGCCTTTTATCTCCTTTTTCTCTGCCAGCTGCTACCACAACATCATCATGGACTTTTCCTCCTCTTTTTGTTTACCCTTTGGTTTCCAAACAGAGCAGAGCACCTCCGCACATCATAACTGAAGATTAGAATAAAGGAAAACATATCCCTGCCAAAGCAAAAAACTTGTTTAGCAACTTACACAGATATCTTTTAAAAACTCTTTCTGGATGGTATTTCTTTTAAAAAGGCCCATAAACTTGGCTTACACATATGAGGTGAAACAACTTCAAAGAGAGGAAGACCAACACCTTCATGCAAATCCATGATACACAGCATTTAGGCAGGGTTTTCCTGAAAGAGTATTGCATCCTCACTCTCTGTTTTTCGATACAATTGCATGCAGGACTCAAACCAGAGTTTTTTATCATTAAGTCTCATTCCCCTCCCTATCATGAAATCTCTCAGTTGTTAGATTTGTGCTTTCAAATAGAACAAATTATTTCTGTGCAAGAAGTCTGGCCAATTTGATTTTGTCCAGTTGAAGTTTTGCTTGGCTGTGCTGTCACTGGCAAAGCACCATCCCAATAAAAAGAATACTTAGTCTGTGCTTGTAGGAGCTGAGAAAACTTTTGGGGCATGCTCCTTGCAATAGTAACTACAATGCACCAGAAGTGTGGGTAAAGCAAAGAAATCTAACATCTCCATTTTGTTACAGTTTTCAAGTGAAACATTCATACAGTGTGCCTGTCTTTCCCAAGTGATTTTCTTGTATGAAGGTTTGATTCTATCCAAAACAATGTCCCAAGAAGGAGTCTTTTATTGCTATAAATCAGAAATTACTTGACAGTCAGCGGTGAATCATGTCAGCAAGTCAACAGTGTCAAAGCAAGAAAAACATACATTGCAAATGCGTCACATGGAGCCCTGCAAAGAAGCTTTTGATTGAACATCTTCTCTAAAGTAAATTTACCTTCAGACATCCTTTGAACAAAATCCAAATTTAAATCTTCTAATCTTGGCATAGAGAAGGAAAGCATTTGGAAAGCCTGATCAGTTGTGTCGTGGTTTAACCCCAGCCTGCAACTAAGCACCACGCAGGCACTCTCTCACTTCCCCCTTTCCCCCCCACCTCTGAATCGAAACAAGTAAAATTTGTGGGCTGAGATAAGAACAGTTTAATAAT